CTTTGCCCGATGCCTTGGCCTGTGCTTGCCCCCTTTGCACCAAAGGGGAAACAAGGACATTGCACAGGCCGGCGCCCGCCTGGTCTCCATCGTCATGGCTTGCGTCACGGGCTCCTCACGAGGTACCCTTGCCTTGATCTCTCCGCCTCCTCGCGAACCTGCGTGATGAGGCTGCCTCTGAGGAAGCTTTCTGTCATCCGCCCTGTGAGGCTTGGCCCCTTGCAAGGGTCTTGAGCTTGAGCTGATGAAGATGGCCCGTGCTGGGCCCCCACTTGAGCCATGCCGCAGGCCGCAGGCACGCAAGTCTGGGGACCCCCGTTCCCAGAACGCCGACATCATGGAATGCGAGGTATGATGTGCAATGCATATGGGCACTCCGGAAGGGAAAGGATGATCAAGGCATCAACTTGGCAACCCAAGCATGCCGCTGGAAAGATTGAGTGATTTTGGTCCAAATCGATATAAGGATCGCCGGAAATGGATGCACGGTTTGCAAATGACAAGCAAAACAAGAATGATGCAAAACTGCGCTTAACAACATCATAGCACTTCAAATGCATCAAGAAACTATGCTACAACACTCCAACATAGCAACAAAGCACATGGCAGTGAAGCACATGTGAAGCTCTACAAATCATGAACACTGAGCTACAGCTAGAAACCCCTAGAACAGGTCTAAAACAGCATGGCAAAAATGCAAAAGTTAACAGCTATCAGACTTAGCAGAAATTCATGCATCAAGACCGAAACAACATCAGGTAGCAAAGTTTATGCATAGCAAACTATATGCTACAGGGACATATTACATTACACAAGATCATGTCATGATATTACTAAATGCACTTGACAAATCTCCCTTTTTGAACTTGTTCTAGAAACCCATAGAAAGGTTGGTAGCATCAAGGCAAGCATGGCAAATGAGATGGCTATTAACAGACTTAGAGAATCCAAGTCATGGAAATATGCAGATTCATGATAGCATATTTGCAAGCTTGTGGCACTCATCATAGTGCCCTAAATGACATGAAATGAAATCTAGCATGAAGTAGGCATGAAAAAGAAGCTATCCATGTACAAAACAACCTCATAGCATGCTTGAATTAAATCACACAAAAATGCCAAAATAGTAACATGATGTAAAATGACATGTTCATGAACTTTCTCAAATGCAAAAACCAATGCCATCACTGGATTGGAGGGATTTTTCTACCCCAAAAACATATATAATATGTGGGGGTTAGTGTATAAAAAACACCACAAATGATATAAGTTAAAACCTGCCAAAAATGGCTATTGATAGAATTGGCATTTTCCGTAAAGGGAAATGTCCAGAAATGGACTAGCCCGAAATGGAAAGATTCCTATGCAAGAAACGGAATATTCCTGGAATTAAAACAAAAGAAAAATAAAAGAAAAGAGAGAGGGGATGACAGGTGGGTCCTGGTCCCCTGAGAAGCTGATGGGTGGGTCCCGCGGGGCCCACATGGCGGGCTCGAGCAGGGGAAACAGAGGAGGGGCTCGCCAGGGTGCAGAGACGGCGACGAGCTCGTCAGAGCCTCTCCGGCGACCAAAAGGCGTGGTAGCGGGGCGCAATGGGATCACCCTAGGATCCCGCACCCGCGGGTGCCACTACACGCACTGGACGACGATAGAGATGTCGCCGGCGACGACTAACAGAGGCGGCGGCAATGGAGACAAACGCGGCGACACGAGGGGCTAGGCGAGGAGTTACGTGCACTATTGGAAGCTACACGGCATGGCGAACACATTGGACATGAGTGGTGGGGCTAGTGAGGCCGGAGCACTCATCGGCGACGAGGTCCGACGGCGGCGGGGTCCGGTACGGACGGCGGCACGCTTAGAGCATGCAAAAGACAGGGGGTCGGGGAGGTTCTTATGCTCATCACAAGCACGGTGGTGTGCTTGGTTACTCGAGAGGAGGTCTGAGATGGCGACAACGACGATCGAACACGTGCGGTGGCCGGAGTCAAAGACGAGGAAGAAGACTACGCAGTGGCGGGTTCCAGCTCCACGTAGTCGACATCGTGGACGTAGTCGACGACGGGGAAGACGACAAACACGGTAGGCGGGGCAGAGGTCGACGGGGAGCACGTCGCCTATGCACTCGGGCACGACAAAGACGGCGGATCTGGAGGTTAAACTCACCAGGCGGCGGTGGATGGGTGAGGGAAACCCTAGAGAGATGAGGGACAAGGAGATGGGGTTTAAAAGGGGCTAGGATGACGGGACGAAGCTCGCACGCTCTCGGCACGGGGTCGCCATGGCACTGGTAAGAGTTGGACGAAAAGGTTGGTGCGGGCGACTGTAGCTAGGCAGCTGGCAGGTGGGACCCAAGGGCGACGTGGCAGGTAGCTAGCGGGGGTACGCGTAGGTGTGGTTTAAAAAGGCAGGGAGAGAGAGCACGGGTTGGTGAGCTAGGCTGCGAGGCGCGGGGTGCTAGCTAGGCCGGCCTGGGAGGCCGAGGCCCAGGTAGGTGCTGTTGCTGCTTCCTTTATTTTCCTTTTTCTTCAGGCAAAAAAATAAATGGAAAAGAGCAGGGGAAAAGGAGAGGAGTTTGAGAAATATAACAATATTCCCATGATCCTGGATTTATGCCCTATTTAATAAAATTGGTTCGGGCATTTTTAAAGGTAGAAAAATAAAACAAATTTGAATTGAGTTCAAACTTTGGTCATTTTTGAACCTGACCAAAACAATTTCAAATAAGGTGAAAACTTGCATAGGGGTTTAGGCCATGGTGCAAGATTTATAGGAGAGAAGATGAACATTTATGGAGTAGGGAAAATGACACTTGCAAAAGTGAAGGAAAAGAGAAGGAGAGGTGGTGATGAGGGGGAAAAAGATGAAAGTTGGATCCCAAGGAACATGCCACAATGCAACATGCTACAAGATGAAGATGCACATGATGATGGGGATATGCAAAATGACACCAAGCACAATGCAAACACATGATGAGGCCATGATGCAACAAGATGATGGCATGGCAATGCAATAAACAAATAACACAAAGGCAAACAAAAAGTAGCCAACCATGATAGAACCAAGGAATTGGATGAAGACCAAAATGGATATATTGCCAAATTGGGAAAAGTTACATATGGCTGTTACAATTGTGCAATTGCAGGAACCATTCTAATATTTAGATTTTTAACAATTTTGTCTTGCACATGTAGGTCCTGCTGTCAGAGGTTTTGACCCACTGTTAGACCCATTTTGCATACGGGGAAATGAGATGTCCATGAATATTAGTCAAATCAAGAAACTCAGAAAGATTGTTAGCATTAAGAAACTAGAGACGAAAACAACAAGATATTTGTCTACACAATGAAGAAGACATATCTATGCATATCTTTGTTTTCAGGCCTTTCCAAAGCAGTTCACTGATAATTACCTCTGAAACCACCTGTATGGTCAAGAGGTGAGGAAGGTGTTCATACAACACCCAAGCTACAATGTCGAAATCATCCTCAAGAGGACGAAGGATTGGCGGTCAATCATCCACAAGCACTGCCCTAAAGTTGCAAGGACCATCAACATCATTGAAGGCTCCATATTCGCCTTCCGTTTCAGCAGTTTTCCAGATGAGATTCATCTATCTATGTATCGTCTACGATGCTTATTTCCAAAGGTTTTAGATCTTGCATGTGAAACTTGGTGATGTTGTGTAATGGGGTAGCTAGCTATATGCCTATATGGTGTAACCGAGTGCCGAAGCTATACGATGTTGTACTCTCTGATGTATTTCAATTATGAAATCCTTATGAAAATGAAATATATCGTGTGTTTAATATGAAATGTCAATTTGGTTACTAAATGGACTAAATATAATAGACTAATTAGCGTGCTTACTTGGTTTTCCTGCAAACGGTTATTGGGACAACACCGTGGGCGATGACATCAGACAACCCACACAGTTTCTAGGAAGCAAATGTGTTGGATCAATGAACAATCACACATGACTTCCTCTGGAAAATTGTTTCTATTAGGCCACGTTGCACAAATGTTTTCCACATAAAAAGTGTATGTAATGGACACCTATGCTACACCGTTTCTTCTAGGCACCGTGCGTGATGCATTCAATAACACAAATGATAAAGTTATTAATATCGTCTGCAATGGTAAGGCTACCATATATGATGTGATGGGAAAAATTGTGTGTGATTTATGTATGAACAGAAACATTTGTCTGGGATTCACTATTTGCGATGTACACACGAACAGAAACGTTTCGCTGGTATTCACTGTGTGGTATGTACGTACGAACAGAATGATTGGGCGTGTATAATTGTATGTGATGGCTCGACCAATCACACATGAGCTCTTTTTGCCCCACGTGTGTGACCAGAGGACCTATCCCAGATGGTTTATGTGATGGCTCGACCAATCACACATGCAAGGCGGCGGTTTAAAATGCTGTCACGGAAAGGGGTTAAAAACCGTTTGTATAGCAGATCGCTGCACTAGTGTTAAGAGATGATCTCTCAGCACAATATGTCTCACCATGTTTTTAGGAATAGATAGTTATTGAAGATAATGCTAAGAGATAACCCACTACAGGCATGCTTTTATCGCCATCTCTAAAACAAATGCAAGGCTTAAGATAAGACTATCTTATCAACCACTATTATGTGCTTAATACCTGCCTGTGTCAATTACAAGGTTAATGCCGCTTATTTCTCTACATACGTTGGCTCAGAAAAGGAAAATGTTTCACACCATGAGAATAGGAAGGAAAAGAAATCATAATTAATGATAAGTGTCGCTTATGAATCAGGATGGAGCGAGTATATAGGATCACACAATATATATGCTAAATATGAGAACCTAATAATATCTTTCCCATTAATTTTCAATTAATATTTTCTTAATTTTCCATTAGACAACATCATCCATGGCTATAAGAGATGGCATAGACTATTTGGATGTGCATCAGTTTTGTGGTCACTTACCTTTCTTCGTGTCTTGATAATCATTGAGACATGGGAGTCCTCAAGGTTCGAAGCCTACTATGCTTGCTATTTATCATGCTAATCCTCTTGGTTCCTGGTAAGTTTTGTATCAAAGTATCATTTAAAGAACAAGGAACTTCCTCAATGCATCATCTATACATTTGCTAGTCATATATGAAATTCATACTCTGTGCATCATAAATCATCTTATATCTTTGTGAAACACTATAGGATATGTTTTTTCATACTTCGTATTGTGTTGTTTGTTTTGTAGGCTCTGATGCCAAGACTTGCAAGGAGGCTAGCGAGAGATATACCAAAGATTGCAGTGATTATCCATGTGTTTCGGCCTGCCACAAGGAGGGATTTGTTGATGGGAAGTGTGAGATGCTCTGGGCAAGACCCGTTATTCTCAGATGTTTCTGCATATCGAATTCTTGCTGAATAAAAACATGGTGAAACTACCGCATGATGTTCAATGCAAAAAGTAATAAGATTCATTTTAAAAAATTACTGGAGATGAGTAATTGAAAAAATGTGGCTCTGCAAGTTATTCCTTATTTTTGGTAGAAATTAAATTTCAAGGAGAAAATTGCTCTTTATACACAAATATCTAACTCATGTCCATATGCTACAAACTCATGTCACCTTGATCTCATGTACGAGTTGTTCTCACACATAGGAGTACTACCCAATTCGCATGTTCTGGAGTCCTATTCGAGCGATTCTCAATAGAAGAAAAACTCTAGTCTAGTTGGCTCATTGCTCATTACTCATTGCTCTGACAATGACACCCGATTTCTTTTGTGATCCACGCTACTTCTTAAAAACTTGTAAAAGAACCTGAAGTGCTCTGTGTCCACACGCGACTATTGATACCTCACGTGAGATTTTTTTATACAATGATATTAAACTTATCTTGTCATCATCTGACTAGTTATTCAGTTGTTGCTTGTTCGCTTTATGTTTTCTGTGTGGCTAGGTCTCAGTCGACTGGGACTTAGCCACGTCTCACTCAAGTGATATAGTATAGAAAAAGGAAATGGAAAAAATAAAAATAGAAATATTGGACGAATCTCCATGCAAGGTTAAATGAATATAGTATCGCATGAGACATGAGCAAGTCTCAGTCGACTGAGACTTAGCAAAACTGTTATGTTTTATGTTGTGGTGTATGTATAATATTGGTACAATTGTTGAAATCTTTCATAAAAACACATGTTATTTTGACACTATATACAAGTTTTGTATGCAATGATAAAAAGGGCCTTGTGTTGATTTTGGCTAATTTGTCGGTTGTTACGTTGGCTCGCTCGTTTATTTACATAAATAAAGAGGATTTATTTTTAGTTTTTGTGTTTATTCAGAGTTCTTCAAGTTCATGAAGTTTAATTGTACGTTTTCGTCATGATGTGTTTGTTTTCACCATCATATATAGTTTCATGTTCTTGGGTTGAAGTCTTCTTTTGTTTCATTTTGCTCGGTTTGATTCTTACGGTTTCGTAATTCCATGTGAGACGACATTGGATGTAGACACTCTAGTTGATGCAAAAAGGGTTCTACGTTATCATTGCCCTTACAGATGCTAGCCTTCCAGCATAACCTGTTTTGCATTATTTCCCTTCACTATGTGATGTGAAACATTTATATATTAATCAGAGTGAAGAACTCGTCCCGTGATGACTTTGAACCTTCATGTGCTTGGGTTGAACTATTCTTTTGTTTCATTTTGCTCGGTTTGATTCTTACGGTTTCATAATACCATGTGAGACGACCTTGGATGTAGACATTCTAGTTGATGCAAAAGGGTTCTACATTATCATTGCCCTTACGAATGCTAGCCTGCCAGCATAACCTATTTTGCATTATTGCCCTTCAGTATGTGATGTGAAACATTTAGATATTTGTAGAAGTGAAGAACTCGTCCCATGATCACTATGAACCTTCAGTGCTATGAGAAGAAACTGGAGATAACTTTCGTCCATAGGTTTTAGTATATGAAGGCAACATTATCCCAAGGAGTGTCATATCAATTAATAGGATACAATTCAATATATGGGATGAATAGTGTGCATGAACATGTCTCTAAATCAGTAATTTATTATCATATAGACTTTGGTTGTCCATCGAGATACATGTCTCTATATAGAATCCAAAGCAGGAACTCTCTGCATAAACATCCCTCTTCTGATTTCTTTCTTCAAATATTAGTTATTTCTAGGCTTGTATGTATGTCGTGGAATTGTCACGGCAGATGTCCTAGCGAAAGGACTTAGTCATGGAGCCATCGTAACTAGGTTAGCTTAAAGAGGTTAAACGGGACAAAGGACACATGAGTTTATACTGGTTCGGCCCCCTGCTATGAAGGTAAAAGCCTAATCCAGTTGAGGTGGTATTGCTTGGGTTTCGATTACCTAGGAGCTAATACGCTTAACCTAGCTTTCGACCTCTCTTGTTTCTTATCATAAACCGCCGTCAGGTCGTCCCTTTATATACACAGATTGACGCCCAGTGGCTCTTGGAGTCCTGGCCGGCTTATACAACGTGTCCGGCTCGGTGACTAATTATACATGCCTTACAATACAAATCACACATATATGGCGGTTTACTCCTCCGGGCCTTAAGTCGCCTTTGGGCTTCCGGACCTTCAGTAAGCCTGCTTCATGAACCACCATCTTCAACATCTTCATGGGCTTCGTTAATGGTGAACCACCAGTGGTATGACCCGGCCCCTCCTGGGCAGGTCATGCCCAGTAGTTATATCCCCAACATTAGGCCCCAGTTTGATGTGAACTTGTTCATATCAATCTGCCAATACTTAGAAAAAGTCCTTCATTTGCTCTAAGGATTATGGTAACCCACCATGATGTCATCTCCTAGGACTGTGGTAATCCGTCGTGACGTCACCTCTCACTAATATTATACAAGCACCAAATCTGTAATATATCTTCTGTTTTAATGAACTTCTGAAAATCGAGGCGTCTGCATTGTCACATATCCATTTCTTGGCCTCCTCGATTCCCGCGCATGCCACTTATCCTTTCGACGTTATAAATAGGGCCAGGGGTCCCTTTCATTTTTTTCCTTGCCTCTTCGTCTCTGTCTTCCACCTCGCATCGCCTCAACACCCAAGCTCCACCGCCACCGTCGACCTTCGCCACTGCCTCAACAAGGTCCACTGCATCAACCTGATTTGATTAGAATTCATCCACGCACCTCTGCTATTCAACAACTTTGGTGAGTTCTCCTCCTTCCTTTTCCTATAAATCCCATTAGGGTTTCCTACAAGTACGTCGAAGTTCATCTTCGTTCTTTCCTGTAACTTGCTCTTTTTGATTCGAACTTGGTACCTCTCTTGTGTGGTGGTAGTTGTAGCACTCGTTTTCGCTACTAGGACATCTTCTTTTGCATAAAAAATCCAATCTGGACATATGAACTGCTCAAGCACCGTAATTTAGGTCTAGATATTTTTCCATTATCTGAAGTGCCATAGATCCAAAATCATAGTATCAATCTGCGAAACCTGTTTTTTCAAAAAATAGCAATTTTCCCTTTCTCAGATCTGTACTTCAATAATTGTACGGGCGGCTTAACTTTAGAAAGCATAACCCGCCAGGTATCATTAGTCCCCTCTTAAGCCGCCAATAGCTCATGTTTATAACTTCAATGTTGTCCTCCGGCTTAATCACTTACGCATGCTTCATTATTTTTCACCAGCTAACTCGTTAGGCCGGCTTAACCATATAATCATGAACCGACACAATCTTTCTTTCAGCTCATCAAAAATGGCCAAGACATACACTGCTTGCAACTAGGTCCCATCCCGGGTTACTGAGGAATACTTGGACAACTACGTTGCAATTGGCGCTTTAGCCAAAAAAGAAGTCATTCACTGGAGGGTCCCTGGTGAAGAATTTCCTCCTAAACCCAAGGACGGAGAAGTGATTGTTTTTACTGGTCACCTGAGTCGGGGGTTCGGCCCACCCGGCTCAAAGTTCTTCCGTGATGTGCTTCATTTTCTCCAACTTCACCCTCAAGATATCGGACCCAACTCTGTGTCCAATATTTGCAATTTCCAAGTGTTCTACGAAGCTTATCTTCAAGATGAGCCCACGATTGACTTATTCAGAGAGTCCTACTATTTAAACCACCAGACCGAGTTTGTTGATGGGCCCAACACCGAACTTGGTGGGGTTTCAATTCAAAAGAGGAAAGACGTTAGCTTTCCCTATGCTAAGCCGCTCAGTCACCCCAAAGACTGGAACCAGACTTGGTTCTACTATCAAGACACATCTCCAGCCGACGAAAATCCCTTACCGGGTTACCGCGATCACCGGCTTAGCAGTACACATCCACTCCCCTCGCTGCTCAGTGCAAAGGATCGGGCCAAATATGCCCCATCACTTTCAAAGCTCAGAGCCATATCTTGCCATTAAATTGTCGCCCCGGCTTAATATGTGAATATACTGGTAGTGTGAAAGATCCGCAGCTCCACTGTGACATCCAACTGTCCGATGCAGAAATTGATGAAGCCACCAAGAAATTGCTGAACGAACTTTTAAAAGAATGCAGCAAAATAGGACTTAGTCCTTTTAGCACCTTCAACAAGCCGCCAGCCGTAAGTTTGCATATCTTCCACTCAATCTATATTTTCAATAATTATGCCCACTCATGATCTTTTGACTTTAACAGGCTGATTCTGCATTTTGGAAGAAGAAACCGCAAGATAAGCCGACCAAGCCGGCTCGTACCAAAACCAAGGTGACCAAAAAACCTGCCAAGAAGAAGACCACCAAACCCGTCGGTGTATACATTGATGATGAAGATGATGATGACGAGTCAGAGGTAGAACTTGACTCCCTTGGCTCTTTTTTATACATCTCATTGACAACGATTATTATCAGGACGACGCTGAAGCCAGCCGTGCAGGTGACACAGAGGTAATTACTATTTCTTCCGGCTCAGAACCTCTGCCAACACAGAAAAACCGAGAAGCAAGCCGGAAAGTAAGCTTTTGTCACCCTCTAGCTCACTTGGATCCCAACTTTCTTTTGAAGAAACAGCAACACGAAGCTCGCCGCACCACCCTACATAGCGGTGGTGTGATTAATTTTTCCGGCTTACCCAACACACCGGTTCGCAAACGCCGCCCAGAGGTCTTATATATTTCTGATATACTTTATCCCAAGGCAGGTCATTTCTGTCTGATTCAAACTATCCGGGGACTTCTCATTCCTCCTCTGGCGAGTCAACGGGAACTCTAATCCCAGCTTTCAAGACTGTACCTGGGTAAGAACACTTTCAACTATTCAAACCATATACCTGATCATTACACTGACCTCTCTATGCTTCTTATTTTCAGGGGCGAGGCCAAACCCAGTAAGAAAGCAAAGTTGAATAAGCCGGCCGACTACGTCATCCCGTCTGAGCCAGAACAACAACAA